CTACTTTGTCTAGAAACTCTCCAAACTGCAGCAGAATTTCATCACAATCATCTTGTAAAACACGTTTATTCCGCATTAATACCGTTAGAACTATTTTCATTTTGTTCTGGGCTTTTAACCATCAATCGCGGGTCTATACAAGATGCATTTCGAATAAGAGAATAATTTATTGGACATTTAGACATTAAGTGTTGTACCATTGTTAAGACACATTGTTGACCGGATTAATGACTTTTGACTGTAATTTAAAATCTGAAACCTTTAAGATTTCTTTTTTTTCTTTGAAGGAAATTTTAGTTAGAAGAAAATTTTGAAAAGTAAAAATATTTCCTTATTTCGAAGCGTAATTAAATGTTGAATAATTTGAAATGCTTAAGTTTGCAGAATTATGTATTGAACATAGAAGCAGAATAAGAATTTTGAATATGGTTAAGTAGACCATGTCAAAAGAAGTTGACCAATGCATAGTTTAGATAAATTCAAGGAAAAGTACATAAAAGGAAAGTTTGTTTATGTACAAAATATGAAAGCTACAATGTTTTATTCAAAATTGCTTTGCTGTTAAAGAGGTGACTTAAGTAAAACTCAAGGATAGCAGCTCAAAGAAACATATAATCAAATTTTTTTCATCATGATGCAGCAAATGGACTTTGTCCTAGTGGTCAAAATATTAATAATAACATAATTTAATAATGAAGACAGCTTAATGAGAAGAGTTCCATTCTGACCTAGCTGGAAGGGTCTGAGAACCATTTCTATTGCAATCCAGTGGCCAAGCAACAGAAGTTTACCGTAGCAATGTCTTCTAAAAAGACAAGTTCAGACACGTTCCGAGTTAGTTTAAAAGAATTGGAGAGAATTTATTGGGTAAACCTGGTAGTAAAAGTTATAAGCTTGATGCATTTAAGGCCATCCTGGTGAAAGCTTTCCTCGCAATCACAAAATTCAACTTGAGTCATTGTTGTTTAGGAGATATCAGATGTGAAAAGAAAAATTAACAGCTTTTAAAAGGGTTGTTCAAATGAAAGTGGCTTTGCTATAATAACTCTGCCATTTGAAAAGAAAGATGACTGCACGTGTCACTCTAGAGGGCACAGAGTGCTGGGAGTGCATGCAATATCGTCAAATCCTGTCAGATGCATGTGCGATAGCGTCGAAGCACGTTAAAAGGCATCGTTCGCATCATGCATGCCTCCAAAGTGTGTCAACGTGTGGTCATGCAATTTTTAACAATGGATAATGTGACTGCTTCTGAAATCTACCATTGAATGCAAAATGTGTATGGCATGAAGTGTATGAAACGTAGATCAGTATTCCAATGGTGTAGGGATTTTCATAGTGGAAGAAGCAGTACTGACGACATGCCACAACCAGGTCAAGCACATGTGAGGATCATCCAAGAAGCAATTACATATGTGGATTTGCCTTGTGAAAATGAATCAGCAAATCACCACTAAGAAAATAGCACAGGTAATGGCTACGAGCATAGGAAGTGTGCATACAATACTGTATGAAAGATTGTGATACCGAAAGGTTTGTGCACAAGGGGTGCCAAAACTTTTAACAGAGGATGGATTGGATGGATTATTCAATTACAGCAAAGCACACGAGGGCTATCTGCCTAAAGGGAGGGATGCCTACATGGAGGACTTTCTAAGGGAAACTGGCTCGTATACAAGTTACACATGGGGAAAGCCACAAAAACGCCCATGCAGCTAGCCCATTCGCAGGATTCGAACCAAACTACCAGTGTTCAGCGTCTCTACCGCTCGGCCACTGGTGGGCCAGATTACATTCTAACATTTAACAGAGGAGCAGAAGATTCATTGCATATCTTTTCCATGCAACACCTTATGTGGTAGAATGAAACTGGGAGCCAATTCCTTTCAAGGATCATTGCCGCTGATGAAACATGGTGCAGTCACTTAGATCCAGCAACCACAAGCATGAGCATGGAATGGCGACACTCTTCATTCCCACGACCGAAGAAGGCTCGCCATGTCCACTAGAGCAGGTAAAGTCATGTTAACATGCTTCTTTGACATTGATGGCTTACTACTGGAATGGCTACCTATGGGCACAACTATCAGTGCTGCCACGTATTGTGCCACACTGCAGAAACTGAGACAGAATATCAAGAACTGCCGATGTGGCGTGGGGTTATCCTCTTGCATGATATTGCTCATTCTCATGTGGCTGTGGCATGGCAAACATTGTTATGGCAATTCCGCTGGGAAGTTCTCGAACATCCCCAGAGTCGTAGCTAGGGTTTTCAGCGCCCAGGGACATCTGAAGATTTTGCGCCCCCTACTGGTTGCCAAGGATGGAAAACATTTAATTCTAAAATTTCGTAACATCATGGCGCCCCTTGGATTCCGCGCCCGGGGACAGATGCCCCCCCTTGCCCCCCTCTAGCTACGCCCCTGAACATCCCCCTTACAGCCAAAACCTCTCGCAGTGTGACTACCACATCTTCAGTCCACTCAAGAAATCTCTAAATGGACAGTGATTTGTGGATGATAATGAGGTCCAAGCTGCCTGTAAAAATTGGTTTCACAGCCAATGCTGGAGCTTCTTCACCAGGGGTATCTATTGTCTCGTTGACTGCTAGGACACTTGTTTCACTTTACAAGGTGACTTTGTCTAGCCTATCTGTTATGTCTGTATTACTTCTTTCTTTTGTATACTAATTTATCTTAATATCATTAAACCATTTTTCAAACCAACTGCAGTGCCACTTTCATTTGAACGACCCTTATATTTTAAGGAAATACAAAATTGTTATACAGAAGGAAACCGGATAATAATTAAGCAAAAATTTGCCTTTAATGATGTAAAATAAAAATCACGAATAAGACTTGTATAATAAAAGCAAGGGACTAGCGTATAATTCAAATGAATTAATATATATATATATATCCCATTGAAGAATTTCACAGCATAATTCATAGAATTTTCAACATTACATATAAAAGCACTTAAGTATTATCCCAATTGGCTACCATTGTCAAAATTTCTGCCAACAGTCGACAGGATAATATATAAGTACCCATATAAATAAAGTACACACATTTCAAAGTTAGATGAAATTCAGTCTTAGTTTTAACATTAGTCTTATAGAAGAGCATTGTGCATTCCAAGAAATTCGGCACAGATATATCTTCTTCATGTAATGGCTGGCTTAGATAATATTGCAAACAAAACCAACACAAACAAAAAAAGAACAAGAAACAAATTAACACTAAAAATTAACAGAAACTATAATAAAAGAAAAATTGGTTAATCTTTGGATTATGGTAACTTGGTGATTTTTTTGGTGACCAACCCTGCTACAGCAACCTGCTAGTTTTGTTTTTGGATGCCATTTTGTTTTCACAAAGTAAAGGCTTTTTTTTTTTTTTTTACTCAACATTTTTTCCAACAATCTGCTAGCCGAATTACGCTTATACTAGAACTTTTATGGAACAAAAATGCTTAATCATGACGAAGATTAGGTGCGAAATTGGGAGAAAGTGCAGAATCGCTCACTGCTTGCCGCGTTTTTAAGAATTGCACATACACAGTGTCATCCATGTACACGTCGACCTATTTTCACTTAAAAAACATCCCAGAATTGCACAAAATTGGGCATTGCGCATGCTCTTGACTTTATCCATGTACACTGCTAAAGTCCTAGCTAGTAACCTTTATCGCCTTACCAAAATGTCAAACTACCTGTTACCATATTCTAAAGATTAGCTGAAAAAGAATTATAAACTAAATTTTAAAAACATTGGTTAGAGAGAAGGGTACCCCTTGTATTATCGTGAAGTTGTTTTTCATTTATTGACAAGTTGTTGTTTCATTTATGGCAGTCTGAGTAGTTGAATGTTGTGGAAACCTTATTATGACGTTATCGGTTGCATGACTGCGGTGAATTTGTAAGGGCTTATGCTGTGTGTTGGTTAGGAACTACATTGTTTTTTTCTGGTTTAGACGGTAAAATGGCTGAATGTGGTAAGATTAATTTGAATTTTCTGTACAATTTGGAAAGAAAAGAGCATTACTTGACTGGTGTGTAAATGAAGGTTTACTTAGTAGCCATTATTGAGTGTCCTGTTTGTAGGAAGGAAATGCGTATGGTTGGACTATAACGGCGCTACGGAGGATATTTTTTACTCTTATTTTGTGAATTGATGTGCCAACCCCAGTATACAAATTGTAGTTCATATAATTTTAGCAAGTTTTTGGATGCTGTTAAGGAATTTTGTTTGAGTAAAGACGTGTTAATTCGTAAATAAGGTAAGCCCTTTTTTATGTTATTTCATTGATTGATTTAAAATGTAGTTTATTGAGATTATATATATATTTATATATATTGTTGGCTGTTCCTTTGACTTTTTAAATGAATATAGTTCGATTTGTACATGGACAAAGCCACAGGAGTGCGTAATGCCTGGTTTGTTCAATTCTCTGATATGTTTTGAAGTGACAATAAGTCGATGTGTACATGGATAAAGGGAGTGCACAGTGCCAAGTTTGTGCAATTCTAGGATTTTTTTGAAGTGAAAATAGGTCGATGTGGACATGGATACCGAGTTTGTGCAATTCTTTTTCTTGTTATTTTGGCTTTATATAGAGCGACTTCTGCGCCAAAATAACAAATCAAAGAATTGCAGAAACTCGCTATCCATGTACCGCCAATTTTTGCCAAGGGTTACCGGTAATACACTTTTACCAAAAACTTAATACCCAAAATAGAGAACGTTAAAAAAAAAAAGTATCAGAAACATATTCAAAACTGAAACTATAACAATCTTAAAATTGCAAAAAATCCTCAAACTGCGAATTAAAAATCGCAATATTAAGTATTTTCAAAGTAAAATATCTCGAAGTGCAGTTTCAAGACCTGACGAAATATTTTTACACTTTAATATGGAGAATAAAATATTGTGATAAAAAAGAAATAAGTACATTTATGAGGTAATAAGTTTTTCATATTAAAACAGAAAGCTGCCTACCTTCCATTAAAAAAAATAAAGAAGAAGGAAAGAAAGTATATTCAAATCTGAAATCTTTCTCATATTTGTTTACCATGGTAACCACTCACAGTCATAAATACAAAGATTAAGACAAAGTAGGTCTTGTTTTGCATCCGTTAAGTCTTTCTATACACTAAAGGAAAAATCAAGCTAAGGGGGAATTCAAGTGCAACGCTTTTCGGACACGCCTACTGAAAATACGTCACTACCATAGAGGAATTTTGCGGCTACTCCTGACCTGCCGCAAACTCTTAACGGCGACTGTAAACAAGATGGCAGAAGTGATTATTGGATTGGCTGGCGCTGGGAGTGGTCTGCGATCACCGAGGCAAGCGGCAGCACGATCGCTGCGCTCCGTAAAAAAGTGAAAATATTTCCTTTCCTCTTGGTGATTATCAATTAAATTTCTTTGAAAAATGTTTTTTCCCCCTACAACACCTATATCATTCCAATGAATTTCGGCTCCGATGTTGACGAGAATAAAACAGCGGACAATGTAAGGATATACTCCAAAAGCCTGGAATTTAAGATAAGTACTTTTCTTTCATCTAAACTAAATCAAATTTCTTTAATAAGTGCATTTAAATCAATAAATCTTAATTTTTCATCATTTAAAGCATTAAAAAATACTTGAAATTGCCATTGCTTGTGGCTTCCTTTGTGTATCAACTCCAAACAGACGACTCAGGCGAACGCAGTCGCAATAACGGGCCCCCGCGCGGATGCGCTATCCCTGAATAACATGTGATGGCGATTTCGAGTTCTATTCATAGCTTGGTAGTTCTAAAGAGAGAACAGTGTATAAAAAAACAATCCATGGTTAGGATAAAAATCCCACATATGCAAGTGAAAAATTTTCGGAATAGTCGCCGGAAAGTTTCGCCAGCCAGTAGCGCGGTACTCGAAGGTAAGGCTCCTCTAAACCAGGCTGAATCACCTAACTTTTCTCTCTTGGCGAGGGAGGGAACCGCGCTACCAATTTTGGCGCGTTTATCGCACACGCTGGCTGAATGTCTGCTGTTTTTTTTAAAGATTTATTTTATAGACGCGCGGCATTCAGCGCACATAAACTTTTCGGATAATTTATTAATTCTCGAATAGTATATAGACGTTTTCACTTAAATAAAAATTTCGCGTATATTTTGTAAACATATTCAAAATAACTTATTCTTTAGATGTTTCAGTTTTGTTAGCAGACTAAAATAAATAAGATATGAATAAAAACTTTCAATAGTGTCAAATGGGGAAATAGTTAAAGCGTATAGAGTGTGCAAATAAATTTATCTTAATGACATTTTAACAAAAATTTCCATAAAAACACTGTAAATTCATACTAAAAAAATAACTTAAGAATATGTTGTCATTTTAGTCTGAGGTATATGGAAATAATTGTGCAAGACTCTGAAGAAACACTTTCTTTTAAATGTGTGAAATATTTCATAACATATATGGAAGAAGAAAGTACAGCATTCTGTGTTTTGGATGATTTTCACCAAATGTAATATAAATACGAACTAGAAACCGTAATAAAAAGTCCTTCCTCTCCAATCAGATCACCTTTGTGTTGCATTGTATTTGTAATACTTCTAAAAATCCAATTTTTACCTAAATTAAAAAACAGTTATTCCATAAAAGATAATAAATTGAACGTTTGAACGTATATAGAATGAATTTTGTAATTTGAGTTATGTTACAAAATAATTCATAGTTTATATATTTTATACTAATAATTTAGATAAAACCTGTCCAATTTAAGAATGTGTGTTAACCACATTCTTAAATTGTAAAAGGACGACTTAACCCCACGTAATTCATTTCAAGCATAAAATAGCTTATTTTCTAATATTCAAAATTTCTAAAGTCATAAAAAGCTTATTTCTATCTTTCATAAGCTTATTTTTATTTTACACAGCAACAGCATTTTCATGCAGTCAAGGTTTTTTTAATTGCTAGTTATTATACATAATACTTAATTTTTAACACATTCTTATTAGAAAGCATAACTAAGAAACTTCTTTTTAAAGCACCACAGTGATTGCAAAGAATGTCGTTAAATTTACAAAAGTATTGAAGATATATTGAACAGCATTATAACAAGAAACTACTGTACAAAATATGTAAATTTAGCATAACTTCTTTTTTAGTATTTGCATAGTTTCCTCCAAATGAACCTTAATGGGAAGTTATCTTGCGAAAATTTAAAAGTATTAAAATGGCCTCTATTTAAGATGTAACTGCATTTATAATTATTTTGTAATTGTGAATAGATTATATTATTGCAATTAGATTATGCACTTACAACATAATTGCATAAAGTAATGAAATTAAGAGTTCACAGATACAATGTAATATAATTACAAATGCAATTATCTAAATTGTAATTATAATCACTTATTTAATACCACAATATTATTACAATCACAATGTAATTTAAATTGGGTACTATATTTGTATACCCTCCACTCAAAAGGAGGTACTGATAAGCCTGGAAGTTATTATCAACAAAAAGCCTGTTCAGGACAGTTTGATGACAATTTCCACCGGGCGAAAAGTACATTCTTAAGCCCAGGCAAATCATGACAATAAAAATCATTTAGTCTCATGATTCACTATATTTCAAACCCTAAATTTGAATTCTGCACCAAATTATTTACCTATATTTTAACATACTTTATGAATTATTAGAAGCGATATGGCAAATATCTTCTAAAAATAACTGTAAAATATTTGTATCCATTAATTGATTCAGATACACACTTTTATTATTTAAGTATATCAAAATAACAGTTTCATGTTCCTGAAATACAAAAATTATGAAAAAAGTTAAAAGTAATATTCTTAGAAGCATATGATATTAGTCACCAGCTGCAAAATAGTTAATTTTTTGCCCTAAATACAAGTTTATTACACAGTAGTCAAACGTGTAACTTAATAACATGTTATATAAAAAATTAATGATAATCAGTTTATCAGAAATGAATTAATTCTGCAAATAAACTTTCTGCATTTGAAAATTTTCTACACCTGAGGGGAGGGAGAGATCTAGTAAAATTAGATTTATTATAACTTCAGTTGGACCAAATACCTTCTCTCTCTATATATATATGCATCACTAAAGAAATAAATAAAATTATCATGCTTAAAAAACAGATGTACCATACCAGTTTTTTTCCCCTTGTTACCCTTTACATTGAGAAATAACAAACAGTACAATGCTGAAAAATACTATCCTTGAAATTTTGTTTAAATGAAGAAACACACACCATCTTTTTATTTAAGCATTACACTTCAAAAACAGATACACATACCAATTTATTTTCACTAGCCTTTATACTGATAACATGCCATATAAAAATGAAAAGAATTATCCTTGAAATTTAGATAAAATGAAGTAGTAACACAATGGGAAAATTTATGCACACGGACATCTTTTTTCTATTGCATGTTGTCTGACATGATCCACAAGTGCCTAAAAATGTATACCCAAAAGAAACACATTTCAATATTAACAAAAAATTGTTTACAGATTAAAATTCATTCATTTCATACCAGTATTATAAAGATCATGCATGAAACAAATCTGCTTTCCCATACTTTTAAGTAAAACTTAACTGAAATTTTATACTGGAAAATATGCTATATTTCTATATATTAGAAACAAGAAAATAATACCATAATAATATACTCATAGCCTAGCAGAAAGTAACATATATAACATCAAACACAGAAATTTATATACTCGTAGCCTAGGAAAAAGTAATACATATTACATAAAACACATAAATTATTTAATATAAAACATACATACCTTCTAAAATTATTTTACTTTTTGTTTCTTATTGGCCGATGCTGATGAATATGAAACGTTATGGGCTCTTTTGTTGATAAGATGCTGTGTAAGGCCTTTGCATCTAGTAATAAAAAAATTATCAATAATTACTTTCTTAAGATTACAGCATTCTGGCATGGCCACATGCGTACATTTATCAATTATTCTTTCAACTAATTCTTTTGTGATGGCTGATTGTAAACGAAGGAGTACATCTTTACATTTTTGAAATTCTCGTTCAGCTTCCCTACATATTCGATACATTCCTGAAGAGATGACCTTCAGTCCACCTTTATTGCTATGTTTTGTAAGAATTGTGCGATGCTCGGGTATGTCAGGTTCCAGCATGTCCTCTGAAATGGTCATAGCTGTTTTACAATTTTCACATATGCTTTTTTTTTTCAACAACTTATTATATATGGCTCCTGCGATGTAATGTATATCATTTTCTTCCACAGCTGGGGGCAAGCGACGTTTCACTGCCACTGCAGAAGAGGTAGATGGCACTACAGAATTGGAGATAGGATGCAAGACCTCCTTTCTGATAGCAACCTCTAATTCAGAAGCATCAAAGAGGCTGTGGTCACTTTCAGAACAATAATTTGGATTATTGATATCCGAAATGAACTGTGATAGGCACACTAATTTCAGTGCTCTCTTGGCTTGCAAAGCAGTAGGCTTTGCACCCGACTTTCGTCTAATCTGTGAAAAGGCATTTTCCAGCGCATCTTGTGTCAACCTGCCTGGTAAGAAAAATGTAAACCCCTCGGAAAATAATTCTTTTGAGAGTTTCACAACACTCAATGTGCTCATAATAATGCCAGTTTGAAATGGCTTCCATGCTTTTCCAAACTGAACAGTTTCAGTCACATGAATGAATTTCAATAAAATATTAAATTTCTCATCTTGATTTTTGATAGTGATGCCTTTTTTTTGGATGCCTTGCAGTCATAATTGTAAACCATTCTGCTACAAGTCTCAGCCACCATGCAGAAGTTAATGCTTCTTTTGCAACTTGGTGTAAAATAACTGCTTTTTCAATAGCAGCAGCTGTTTTTACAGAAAACAATTGCACAGCAGATGCCACATTCATCGAGGAAAAGTGTGTGTGTTGGGAAGAGATGAACTCTGTTCAAGTGATGTAGAGATCTCAGGGCAGCATCTGATTCTATCTCACTTGACCAGAGTCGTTTCACATACACTGAAGATACTATCCTCGATGGCAAGACATGCTGCTGGCGAAATTCCTCTGGTAATATTATAATACTTGAAAGAAATGCATTTCTC